AAAAATCAGACCAAGCCTCCATGGAGTTTTGAAAATTGAAAAAAAAAGGAGTAAACTTCAAAATCTATTCATGAGACTCGAACAGTTAGTTTGGTTCCCCCGAGGGTGAAACTCAAGTATCGTACCCCACGGGGCACTGTAGCTGCTGCCCTGATCAAGGATTAAAGAGTAACTGGAACATATAGAAGTTGCTGAAAAATGACTTTGGCGACAACTATCCAGGCAAAGTAAAGAGACTGGGTATGTCCGCAACCGAGAATAAAGGACAGAGAGTCAGGGAACACACGTTAATCTTTAGAACGTTTATGAAAAGAAACACAAAGCTTAGGGACATCAATTACACAGACCCAAAATCAATTACAAACTTAAAATGGTTCAGCTGCTTCAGTGAATTGTGGGTGGCCCTTAAAAGAGCCGTTGGGGTTTGGATGTGTGTTTTTCTCAGTACAATGTGGTGTCTCACTTGGAGCTGGTATACTTGGTCACCGCCTTTGTACCCTCCGACACGGCGTGCTTGGCCAGCTCCCCGGGCAGCAGCAACCGCACGGCGGTCTGGATCTCCCGGGAGCTAATGGTGCTGCGCTTGTTGTAATGGGCCAGGCGGGAAGCCTCCCTCGCGATACGCTCGAAAATATCGTTGACGAACGAGTTCATGATGCTCATGGCCTTCGAGGAGATGCCGGTGTCGGGGTGAACCTGCTTCATCACTTTGTAGATGTAGATGGAGTAACTTTCTTTCCTGGATCGTTTCCTTTTCTTGCTGCCTTTCCCCGGCGCCTTCTTGATGATTTTCTTCGCGCCCTTCTTGGAAGTTGGCTGCGCTTTCTTCTCATCAGCCATAGTGACGGTCACTTTCAGACACAGAAAAAAGGAGAAGGCTCGGAGCTCGCTTTTGATAGCCTGACGGCGTCAGCAATGCGAATGAAGGATGGGGGAAAGCCTTGTTCCTGATTGGGTAGTTTACAAAAATGTCAATACATCACATTTAGTCTCTCTCCGAATGGTTAGTGTGGGACACAATGAGGATCTGTCAGGATCTGCAACGAAATGTGAAACACAAACCAAAATTTTATACACGGATCAAACTCCGAGCTCACTCTAAATTGAACTGATTATTGTCATTTAATGATATTTTGAACACAGTACCTGTGAGATTTTAATTGTGACAATGTGTTTTATTCTGCTCATGACAATCTTTTATTTGTAAAATATTATTTTGTTTCATCACTATCTGAGATTTCCTTATTACGCTGTGAGCAACATTGTACTGTTAAGACATTCAGGTTTACTGAGGGACACTTTGCCGAATATCTGTCAATCTGTGCAATGTGAAAATGGGAGTGCAGTTATAGGTCTGTCTGTTTATGCA